GTGTCTGTTGGCTGCCTGTATATCTTCTTTTGAGAAGTGTCTATTCATGTCTTTTGCCCACTTTTGAATGAGGCTGTTTGTTTTTTTCCTTTCGGCACATTTGAGTTTACCCAAGCGATTAAGTGGCAGAACTGGATGTGATGTAACTTCATTCGATGACAAAGTCCAAACTACTGCCCACCACACTACCTTGCCCCTAAATGGTAGCAAGATACAGGTTCAGCAGTCTCACAGTAGGCTACTACCTAAGTCCATGGTAAAGAGGGCTCGCTCGTCTTAGTTGCCTGCATACGGGAACATTGCCTTATTCTCTCATCTCCTTTCTCTAGCTTAGATATTGAGACATGCACATTCTCAGAAAAGTGTTCCTAAGTGTAAAAAATGAATCTAATGCGAGCAGGAGGATTTATCAACCTATAATCTATACAAATAGGTAAATACGGGTACACTTTTTTTCATAGACTCAATCAATATTAGAGTCAGGCAGAAAATTATATCTGGTGTTTAGTTTAAGAACAGAGGAAAAACCTGAGACTCTAACAAATAAAACTTGTGATTTCAAATGGCCAGATAAGAGGAAAGCAATTCTGTTTAGATTAAGGCTAGAATAAAAAAATAACAAGTGAGAATAAGATACAGATTTGGAATAGCTAGGTAAAAATTCCAATAAATTCATCTACATTTTTTGAGCACTGTACACTTTTCCTAGGGCTGCTATAACAAAGTTCTACAAATAAGGTGGCTTAAGACAACAATACTTATTGTCTCAAAGTTCTGGAAAGCCAGAAGTCTGAAATTTAGGTATCAGTAGAACCACGTTCCCGCTGAAACCTTTAGGGTTTCCTGGCCGCTTTCTAGTGTCTGGTGGCTTGCTGGCAGTCCGTGGCATTATTTGGCTTGCGTGGCTCCCATCTCTGCCTTGGCTGTCACATGGCATTCTCCCACTGTGTCTCTCTTCACAAGGTCATCTTCTTATGAGGACTCTAGTCATATTGGTTTAGGGGCACACCCTACTCCAGTATGGTCTCATCTTAACTAATTTCATCTGCAAAGCCTCTATTTCCAAATAAGGTCACAATCTGAGGTACTGAAGGTTAAAACTTCAATGTATATTTGGGGGTGGGTGGGGGACATGTTTTAACCCGTAACAAGCATCTTATGATGTAACATTGCTGTGCTAGTGGCTGAACAAACCGTAATTCCTGCCTGCAAGGTGACTGCAGACTTACAGAGAAAAAGACAAGGAAATAGTTTCAAATGTACTATGATGGAGTTAGTAAAGGGTGTAATTAAAGTACTGAAAATCAAGGGCCCTTAACTATGACGTGAGTGTCTGTCGGGTGACGGTTGGGACTCATAAGATGACCCAGACGGGTCGGGCTCGGTGGCTTAGCCTGTAATCCCAGCACTTTGGGAGGCCAAGGCGAATGGATTGCCTGAGCCTACAGGTTTGAGTCCAGCCCAGGCAACTTGGCGAGACATCATCTCTACAATAAATAAAAAAATTACCCGGGCACAGTAGCGCACACCTGTAGTTCTGCTACTTGGAAGGCGGAGGCTGAAGGATAGCTGGAGTCCAGCAGATTGACGCTGGGGTGACCGTGAGCATGCCACTGCACTCCAGCCTGGGCGACAGAGTGAGACTTCAACTCAAAAAAAAAAAAAAAAAAAAAAGATGACCCAGAGGAAGTGATGTCCATGCTTAGACCTGAAAAGTGATAATCGCCAGATAACAATGGAGACAAGATAGGGAAGAAAGCTTTTGAGGCAGGCAGAAGGAACAGGGTAGACAAAGCCCTAAAAGCTGCTGCATTATCAGGTAGTTCTTCATGGTTTTTCCCTGTATCTGATAACTCAGTTGCAAATGGAGCTAAAAGCCTCAGGCATGATCCACCCAGACATAGGAGAGGAGGAGCCTGTGCTGGGCAGTTGTAATCAGCATCTGGGCCAGGCAAACTGGGTGCCTAGGCTTTGCATCATTCTGTTCAAGTCCTATGAATCTTGCCTTTTATAAGCCTACAAAAGTTTTAATTGTATTTATTTGGGGATAGAATTTCTACTTTTTCCTTGAGTTTTAGGCATCATATGTCACAGTTACTGAAAAAAAAAATGTAGGGTATTTTTGAGAACTAAGCTAAGTTTCACAATACTTCTTGACTTGACATTGAATGAATAAGATGATGTCTGTAGATAAAGACCTAGGATATTTACAATGTAGGTATTCAGTGTTATTTCTTTTCCAACTTTTCCATTACACACGTACTCAATTGGTAATAACTGCTCCTGTATTGTGGTTACACAAGCACTTTATACCTTTATTGCTGTATTGATCGTACTTTTCCTGCTTTATCTCTTAGCAGCTACCGAGTCTCTTTCAGATTCTTGCTCATCTTTTTATCCTTCCTTAGAGCTTAAGCAGTGCTTTGTATATGAGACTCAATAAATTTCTGTTGAATTGAATCGAGTCATAATGTATGAATGCAATCATTGTACTGTTTAATCCACCATTATTAGCTTAAGCAAAAAAAAAAAGTTTTAGAAAGTGAAATTATACAATGGGTAAGTTTAGTTCTTAAACTCCTCTATGAACAAAATCATATGATTATTTTTCATGCATCTATTGAGAAACCATAGACAAATTATACTGCCCTATGTTTCTAATGTAAAAGATAAATATTTAGTAACAAGGTTCAAAAATAATAGTAAAATAAGAAATGTATTCATTTATTTTTTCCTTTGGGTTCAGATGTTTTGTTATAATGGATTTTAATACCTAACCTGTTTTAAAATATCACATAATGCACTAGAAACAAAGATTTCAAATGTGATTTGATTTCCTCTTGAGTATGTTTCCTGGGAATAAGTAACAAAATTACTACAAACAACTGTGTCATGTAAACAAAAATGTTGTGCACTAGTCTGAGAAATCTCTGCCAGGAAAGCTAAATATGAATCAGTGGTAAGAGAAAATCCTTACAATCTGTTTTATTAGTAAGAAAGAGTAACTTACTTGTTAATTTTGTAACAACAAAAAATGTCTCATTTCTATTTATAGTGCTTTGGTTGGGTTCATTAATGGAATTTTCTATGTATAAGATATTTTAATAATTTAATTCTTATTTATTATATTTATTTATTATTTTTTGAGTTGGAGTCTCACTCTGTTGCCCAGGCTGGAGTGAGTCTGTGCTGGGCAGCCCATGGCCACCACAGTCTCGACTTGCCGGGCTCAGGTGATCCTTCCACCTCAGCCTTCCAAGTAGCTGGAACTACAGGTGTGTGCCACCAGGCCCAGCTAATTTTTCTTGATTTATTGTAAAGAAGAGGTCTTGTCTAGTTGCCCAGGCTGATCTGGAACCTCTGGGCTCAGGCAATCTTCTCACCTTGGCTTCTCAAAGTGCTGGGATTATAGGTGTGAGCCACCATGCCCAGCACCAATAATTTAATTCTTAAAACAATACTATAAGGGGGTGAGAATTTTATTTATTGCAATATTGAATATTTACTTATAGCTACACATTTTGCTTAGTTATACTATGCCTGAAAAAATAAATTATGGAATAAAATTGGCAATCAGGATAATACATACATTTAATGTCTCATAAATGGTTGATGAATTTTAGTGTCACTTCAAGAGTTACATTGCTTAAGTCTCTCTCTTTTGCTTTTCAGAGCCAAACACCTTGGTTGGCAATGTGGATCAGTGGAGTCAAATACATTTGGATTTTAATCTCAATCCTGCAATGGAATGAATGGCAAGTACTATACTAACTCTCCCTCCTGATTCTGAGGCAGGGTAGCTAGCACAGGTTAGGTGTAGATAGATACATTTCTTGTAGGCAAGTTTTAGAAATTGTCCAGACATCCTGTTGGCAGGATGTGAATTCAATGTGGACTTCCAGTCTACCCCACCCCCTCAGCTCGCTAAAGGAAAACTCCATCAAGGTGGTTCCCAGACTGGGAACC